GAGAGAAAGGGAGGCCGTGGCCCCAAGTCCACGTCGTCACCAGCTCAGAGGTCCTGCATGAACGAGGGCTATCGGGCGAGATCACACATAGATAACGAAACCAGACATAGTTCAAGGCGATCAACTCTTTCAAGTCATCTCTACTCTTTCTTCCTCTCTCGGGGCAGCCCCCCCCCCCCCCCTTCTTCGGCGCTTCACACGGCATGGACCTCAGCATGCTTGGGCTTCTGGGACAGGGCCATGATCCAGGAGTGCGCGCTCCGCGAAACATTGGCGTCACGGCGCACAGCTGAGGCGGGCCCCAGGCCAGCCGGGCCACGGGGCGGCTGGCTCGGGTCAAAGCCGGGCTCTGGTCTTGGGGGGATGTCCATTGGAGAAGACAAGATAGCGAGAGACAGACAGGGACTCAAAGAGGAAGACCAAACAAAAAAAAAATGACAGGACCAGTAGAAGAAAAGCAAGCTGGTTGATCGACCTGCACAATTTCGGCAGAGCGGTTGCACACGCGATCCAGCCGCGGCGCCAGCCCACGGGGAATCGGGAGACTGGGGTTTGGCAAAAGGGCATGCATGGGTCTGGATAAACGGGGGAGAGGCGAGGAGGAGGGTATGGGAAATGCACCCAAGTCTGGGCCCAGACACTGGAGTTCGAGCTTCCCCAGCCCGGATCCCCGCGTGAGACAGAGAGAGGGGGAAGATGGGCCTCAAGAGAAGAAAAAGAAAAGAAACGATGGATAAGGCTTGGAGAGCGCAGATCCGTGGTGTGGACAGTGTCTGCGTCGTGGGGTTCTCTTTTTTTTTTTCCTTTCATCTCCTTGGCGAAGGTGAGAGGCACTTCTTTAAACTGACACGCGATGGGCAGAAGTTATCACGACGACACGACACCCTCTCATCTGCAGCGGCGAGGTACTGTCGTGTACGCCACCTGCACTCGGCTGTCTTGACGAAGATGCCTATTTGCTGCGCCGGTCTGGCGGTGAGTGAGGGAGTGTGTGATGCCCTCCCACACGCACACAAACACGGACACACACACACAGCTCGACGCAATGGCGAAATCTCGCGCCTCCACGTAACGCCTGCCACAAACCTGACAGAGTCGTGGGGAGAGCGATACACGTTGGGGGCCAAACGCCGAGTAAGGGGTTAGCAGGCGAGGGATGGACAAGTGAGTGTGGGTGGGTGTGAGTGCGCGCGCGCAAGAGGGGCATGCCACAGTCAGACGTCAGCCAGACCGACAGACTGACTGGGCTGAAGCGGTGGGTAGCATGGCATGGGATCGCCTCACTTGCCGCCGTTGCCCTGTCCCATTCTCACGACCCAGGTGAAAGGGTCACGACGAAGCAGTGGCGGCGGCGGCGGGTGCATGGTAAGCATCTGGCCTCAACGAAACTCCCCCGCAAAATCTGCGAATCATTTTCTTAGCTCTCCCGCCGCTCCCGCGCGTGAGCTACAGGGCCACAAGGCGGAAATGGGAGGTTGAGAGGGGTGGAAAATGGAGGCGTGTGAGGCGAGAGGCGTGAGGCGAGGCTTGAGGCGTGAGGCGGTGACTGACCTGACCCACCCCGTGCCATGGCAAAGTAAAAAGGAGAGAAGAAGGAAAAGGAGACGAATGAATAAGGCGGCAGCTTTGTCGGGCCAGACCGCCGGCTCGGTACGTGAGATGGGCAGATATGTTCTTGGTGTCATCTCGCTCGCTGTCTCAGGCCTGAGAGGGGCCGCGCGCCAAGTTGGGGGGGAGATGGACAAGAGACAATACGTGCCAAGAGGCAAGATGGTGATGTGTGAGAGAGACAAGACACTATTGGCACTGGTGTCCGAGCTGATGATTTCCCGGGCCAGGCCATGTTGCTGAGGTTGCGAGGCGCAAGAGATGATTGCCATATTCGCCTCCAATAGGGAGAGAGAGACCTTGAACAAAAGTGCCCGTTGCATAGGTATGAGCCAATGTCGTCGCCCGTCGTGCGTGAGCACCTCGCCCAAGAAGGCAGTCCGAGTTGAGCCCATGCCTCTCGCCGCCGGCGCCCCTCCCCCCACGGGGAACACAAGAGAACGACCAGAGCCTCTCGGGGAGCGACGCCCCCCTGCAGCATGATAGACACGACGCCCCGACCGTGCGATCTCAGCTGAGCTCGGCGTTACTGTGGCGGTCGTTGCCTGTCTCTGGTAGTCTACTCTACTTCCATTGTATGTTTCCACCCCTACCTATTCTTCTCTATTCGTACCAACGAGGGGGATGGGGGTGGCATGTGGTCAGGGCTCGGCTTCGAGAATGGAGGAAACACAGGTGGCGTCGTTTCAGTCTACGATTCTGAGCCAAGCGACAAACAAGCCCGAGAGGCGAGAAAGAAGAAAAGTACTAAGGCCGAAGAGAAGAAAGAGACCCAGGCAGCCAAGGTCTGGAACCAAAAGGTGTCAAGCCTCGTTCCCAACGAAAGCCCCGAATACCGGCTCCGAACGGGGGCGTGTCAATGACCGCTGTCACCGTTCTCACTCACGGTCGGCCACGGCATGGCGGCATCAGGTCGTCCGCTCGCGCGCTACCCGAACGTCCCCGAGGCACATCCCGCGGGGCCTCAGTGGACTCTCGCTGCTGTTGCGGTAGCGCGGGCGGCGGGCCTTGGGTTGTCTCCAGGTGAGGAACCAGACAGCGAGGGAGAGGAGAGAAAAAAGGGCCAAGGCAAGGAAGCAAGGCACGCACGCCATGATCTGACTCGTATCCCGGGGCCCAAAAAGCCTTCTATTTCGTCATGCCTGGAATCCGCTCCCCTTGCCTCTTTTCCACAGCACCTAGGTAGGCAAAAGGGGGCGGGCGGGTGTGCGGGCGGACATGAGGAGTGAAGGGGTGTTTTGCGCGAGTGAATAAGAGATCCATCCACCCTGTTTCCATTCTTTCTCCTGTCTACCTCTCGCGGCCCCCGCTGCAAGCAAACAAGCCCCTGGTCACCCCTTTCGCTCGTGAGGCGGGCCAAGCGCGGAGAGGTTGAGTTGAGTCGTCCCAGAGATAAGCCTCCCCTCGAGCCAGGGCGAGCTACCTTGTCTCTACTGGGTTCCAGCCGAGGGGCTCCTACCCCTGGCCTCTTCCTCCTCCACACCCCCAGGGGCCGACATGAACCGAGACGAGCCGACAAAGGATGTTGAGATTATGAGATGAGAACGACAGAAATAACACTCCATACCCCGGGCGAAATCTCAGGTGGGCAGTCCTCAGAACACAAAACCAAAAAGTGAGAAGTACCCCGGGCCCCCCCCCCCCCCCCCAAAAAAAAAGAACGTGCCAGGGGAACGCGGCAAATCAGCAGAAAAGAAAGGGAAACCGGGGGTCCCGCCGCACCGCCCGCAGCAAGTCTGGGGGTGCTCTGACGTGATATCACTCGCGCGCTTTACGCTGGCGTGGGGAAGACGAGGGATACGTAATGCGCTGGGGGCGTGTGTGTGTGTGTGGTATTGCCGGGGGTGGGTGGTACAAGCTGAACGATGCTAGGCGGGGGCCCCTCTCTGGCTGGCCCCCTAAAGAAGAGATCCAACACTGGACAGTGTCATCCATACAGAAGACGGGGTGCCCTGTATTGGATGTATGTGCTGTGGGTATGCCCATGGTGACCTGATACCCTCCGGCATGACGACGCTCATCGACATCGACGATGACCTTGTTCAAGGCCAGGAAGAGAGAGAGAGAGAGAGAGAGAGAGAGAGAGAGAGAGAGAGAGAGCCGATCTCAAATGTGATGATCACAGGCTGGGCCTGAGCCATGAACTATCTTCTACTGGGCTAGGTGGTTGAAAATCTCCAGGGCCGTTTGACTCACTCATGACACTCGTCAGGTCCGAGTCCTGACCCTCTTGTTACGTACCCTACATGGGTGAACAGAGATCTGCTGCTTACGGCTCTCGTCTCTCGTCCCTGGATGGACGTGGAGGGGATGGGACGGATATTTCGGTCAGGGCTGAGCCAGTGTCATGCCCCAGCCGGTGCAGATGCCCGTCATTATTGCCTGACTACCCTCGCACCAATGTTGCACGACTGCAGCTGCCTATCGCCTACTGCAGCCAAAGTAGCCGCCGTGGGCCACGTCGTGGGTCGAGGGTATGCCGTTTACGAGCACGTATACGAAATTGCCAGGTTTTGGTTCTCACACGTTGCTGCAAGTTTGAGAGGAGAACCATCAGATTCTTGGAAAGTAGAGGGCCCTCCAAACGAGGTCTACATGAGAGGCGCTAAAAGGTTGTCAAGCCAGCCATTGCAGGCGGCGACCTAGTACAAAGCCCAGAACCGATAAACGTAAGAGAAAATAGAAAATCCCAAAACTCGTCTGACACTGGGGCGTTCGACCCAAAGGGAAAAAAAAATGGTACCAGTCGCCTGCCATGCCCCTAGGCCCCCTGATGAGCCGTGTATACCGTCGAGCCCCATAACCCGCCTTCTATATGTTGTGTTGTGTGTGATATCCGTTCATAAGCCCGCTTGCAAACAAGCCCACCCTCTGGTGGGCGAGAAGAGAAATAAGTCCACATTTCGCGCCCGTGCGTAGCCCAAGAGTCTGGCACCGCTGCCGGGCATAGCCATACACTCTCTCGTTGATCGCCGATTGAGCACTGCCTGAGAGGAGAGAGGGGATTCGTTTGTATGAATTAAGAGGAAGCAGTGGGCCCGTCATGCTTCCGATGGAGCAGAGAGAAAGTGCAGTGACGCCAAGTCTATATCCGTGTTGTATGGGGACATTCTTGCCCAGTTCGTAAAAAGTCGTCTCGAATGTGTCTTGTCGTGCCGAAATTACATCCGATCCATGAGATCACCACCGGCAAGGCTGCCCGTGGTCGAGCTCCTGCCGCTGTTGAAGCCCTCGTTGCTTGTCAGCAGCTCGTGAACACCAATCTTGGGCACGGGCAGCTTGCGGCTGGCGTCTGGCCTGCTGATGATGTCGCTCAGAGAGACGCCGTTGCTGCGAGTGGGTGCGCCGCCGGCGGGAGCCTGAGGCGGGCTGTGAAACGGCGCCTCGGGCCTAGGCTCAAGGACTCCCAGGGCAGGCTGCAACGTCGGTTGCAGGGACAGGTTGCGGAAGGGAGGCAGCTTAACATCGTTGTCAGAGGGGCGGAGACGAGGCGAGTGAGCGGGCGTGGCAATTGGCGTGTGGTCAGGCGTAGGAGAGAGCGAGTCGTGAGAGAAGGTGGGCGACGAGGGAGCTGTCGAGTTGGGCGAGTTGGGACGTGATCGCTTCGCGTGCCTGTAGGCAGTCGAGTAGTGGTCGTCGCCGTGCTCTTCGTTCGAGTGAGACCTTGACATGTGGTACGCAGACAGCGAAGGGTGGCCGCGGGCGCTGTGCATGTAGGGGTGGTGGCGGAAGTGCGGAGGCGCTGCGAGGGTCTCGCGCTCGACCTGGTTCGCAGCCTTGGCCAGGATGGAAATGTCCATGTTGGGGTTGGCCTGGGGTCCGCGACCGTAGTGGTGGAGAGTAGAGTGCGTGGGCAGCGCAAACGTGGAGTAGGAGTGAGGCGGGGAGACGTTGGGCGAAGACAGGCTCGAGGTGGGCGCCGAGCGAATCGTCTTGGGAGGTGGCATCATGTTCTCCGAATGCATGTGCGTCTGGGGTCCCGAGTTGTACTGGTTCTTTCCTCGCCTCGAGTTGGGGTTGCTGTGGATTCGCGAGTGACGGGTCAGCTCGTCAGAGCGGGAGAACTTCTTGCTGCAGCCGGGGAACTGGCAGGCGTGCGGCTTCTCGCCAGTGTGAGTGCGAATGTGTCTCGTCTGATGCTCAAGGCGGTGGAAAGCCTTGTCGCAGAGAGGGCACTTGTATGGACGGGGCAGCTCGCCAGGCGCCTCCGTTGACTGGGCACCTGGAAGAGGGCCGTTGGGCTTCAGTTGCTGAACAGAGCCCAGGCTGTCACCTTCGGTCTGCTGCTGCTGCTGAGGCGCAGGGGCAGCCTCCTCTGACTCGGGATTCAAGAGGTTGCCGAACATGGTGCTTGTTCGGTATGCTTAGTAGGTAAATATTGGTGGGTTAATCGACAAAAGACTGCCGATTCTGTTGATGTGGCCAGCTCTGAGCTAGACTGGTTGTATCGTGCTTGTTCGATTACCGTATTCAGAACGAGAGAGGACTGGATAGTGGTAGTGGTGGTGATGTTCAGGTTTGTGGTGGGCAGAGAGATCCAGGCAGTGGTTTTGGGGGGTGCAGGTCGTCTTATCGTTTCTGGGGCTGACTGCCTTGGGCTTGGGGTGTGGAGACGGGGTGGTGGGTGATGACGGATGCTTGGTGCTGCTAGATGGGGGTACCGACTTTTTCAAGAGGAGCAAGAGCGAACCTTTCTCCTCTCGGGCGGGAAGGAGGGATGGGGCTTTAGTCTTAAAAGAACGCAGCTGGCGTGTCTGGTGTCTGGTGTCTGGTGTCTGGTGTCTGGTTTCTGGCCAAGGGGGGGGGGGGGGCGTGGGTGCGTTGTAGGCGGTGGGTAAGTAGTGGGCAACAGTGGGCTCACTCGGCCCTCCCACAGTTGTTCACTACAGTCAGAGGTGGCCAGGGACGTAGGTCCTGGGCAGTGGAGGAGGGTGAGGTACTTGGAAGATACGGGGGCGGAATTGGCTAGGGAAACCAGAAGCCGTCAGGGAAGAGCGGTTAGACGCCCGGGGGGGGAGGGGTGTGAGTTCTGAATGTCTGATGGGGAAGGACGTGGGAGGGCCAAGGTAGGTACCCTCTAGCGCAGGTACTTCCTTCCTCGCCAGTTCGCCTTCCTCAACTGAGTTTTTTTTTTTTTTTTCCTTTCCCTTCCTATTTTTGCCTGGCGTCTGGTGTCTGGGGGCCCTTTGGAAGGGGGGGGGGGGGTGGAGAGGACGGGGGCCGAGAGTTCTGAGGGAAGCTGGGTCGGGGAAGTGGGGAGGGCAGGGATGAAAATAGGTGGGGAGGGGGCATTGAGCGTCGTGGTAGGTGATCCACACTGCAGGCTGTCTCCCGGATCTCACGAGGGGGGTGCCGTCAGGGATCAGAGGCAGGCATCAGAGGCAGGCACCTGGCAGGGCCCTGTGATGCCGTGATGCCTCGGTGGGGAAAGAACGGGGGTGAGATTAGTTTGGTCTGGGGACCTCGGTGGAGGCGTGCCGCCCGGCTTCTTCCACTCCTTCACTGACTTTCACTCTCTCTAGTCCACCAGTCATCATTCTCCGTTGATCCTCGTCCTGCCTACATGTTCACGCTCTCTCGGTCGGCTCGTTTTCAGCGACGACCCCCGGAGACCTTTCTGGTGAGGCCTCGGTCTAGCATGTTTTCTTCGTCTCCCAATCTCGGCCCTCCACACATTGCCTCAACTCGCGTCTGTACCCCTGCGATTCCCTCCACGTCCACGCCCGGATCCGGAACTGTCTAGACAAGCGCCAGCTCACCGGCGGCCACCTCCCACCTCCCACCTCCCTATCGTGGACCGGCCAAAACCAGAGATCGCGGGGGTAAAAGGCGAGGAGGGCTGCCCCCAGGGCCCCATCACCCCATGTCTGTGCCATGATGGCTCAGTAGCACACCAAAGACATGCCGGTCTCGAGCTTTATCCATGTGATTGGGTGCTGGGCAGTGTACGTCCAATACGTCTCGTTCCTCGGCCACTGCACGCCAGTGTGCGGCTTGGAGGCCGACTTGCCTGTTGCATCGTTTCGCAGCTCGACTGGCTCTCTCTCTCTCTCTCTCTCTCTCTCTCTCTCTCTCTCTCTCTCTCCATAGGCTAGTCGGCTGGCTGCCCTCCAATGACACCATTCCGCCCGCCGCTTTGCTGATTGCGCCACCAGGGAACGGGGTGGGGACAATTCACGGGGGTCACCCACGGGATCCTGCGTCTCCTGACATGACAGGAATCCGGGGAAGGGTGGCTTGAGCAAACAAGACGACAACGGCAGGACAGACTTTGGGCGTCTCAGCCAGTTGCTCGACTCATTTACGTAGACATGGCTAGGCCCTCACAGTGATCAGCAGCCTCTGAGACTCTTGTGCGTCACGCCCCAGGCAGACGGCATTTCCCAAGACACATATCATCGCTTGCTTCAAGAGCCTACGATCCTGATCGTGGTCAAAATAGTGGGCAGAAACATTTGGTGATAGTCTGGCAGCCGTGAGGTATTGCAGCCAGTGGCAATCATTCAGCCATTCAGCTTCGTTTGACGAAGGTGTTGTTGAGTGCCCCTCCTGGTGGTGTTATATCTTGGCAGACACTTCGTTGGTTCTTGCCGTGACGAAGAGCAGGCCGTGGGAGGACGATCAGCCGGCTCATTATCCAGCTGGAACAACCGTTCCTTCTCCGTCCGCCCATACTACTTCAGAAGTGGCTCGGATCAGGAATCGCGACATAAGACCCCGGACAACCATCCTTGGCACGGTGGCCACGAGCGGCAGGCCGAGAGATGCTTGTGCCTACAGTACAATCTCCAAACCTGGTCTCTGGTCAAGCATCGCAGAGGTCAAATGATACCTCTCAGCTCACCCAGTACGAATCAGCAACTCCACTCGACCTGTGAAAGGACGGTTCAGTGTGCCAACAGTCACATGCGTTCGAAAGAGTGGGCGAGTATCCTCGCCAGTGAAGCCAGATCAACCAGCCCCATGCTGATCTTCGACCAACACCAAAAGGACCCTTCGCGCATATCTGACTGGGGATCCGCTGGATAGATTGACCGCCCGGTAGCCATGCTGGGGGCCTGGTTTAGTTGACGCTTCGCTTGCTGTTCACCCGATCCCTTGCACGATGACACGGGATCACTACGAAGACATGCGCTTGGTATTTTACTCACGCACGCCAAAGCTGCGAAGGCATATTCGACTACTTCATTCAGCTCTGCTGTCAATACCGCGAGAAGAGCCGAAAGAAATGCCCTCCGGCTCACCTCCTTCATGCTAGCCAACAGCGGGAGCTCAGTGGCCACATGCTCCAAATCGGAATTTCCGAGCCTTAGAGGACACATGCCCTCCGCCACAGAATAATTAGCCTAGCCGTGGCTAGTCGAAGGGAACATAGTCAGGTGCGCTACCGAGGCAGCTGTTAGGTAGAACGACAGTGTGGTCGGCTCGGCTCCTCCTCATAGCCTATTCCATTTGAGGGTCGGCCGTACATGAACTTCGGTCAGCGCTCGGTAATCATAGCCCGACAGCGAAACTATTATCCGGTCGGGAATCTTAGACTGAAAGCCAAGATCTATTACCCTCGGCCTTTCTCAGCTCGTTTTATCCGCAGTGGGTCTCAGATAGTTACCACAGGGGTCGACTGCTGCACTGGTCCTTGCGTGAGGCTCGCCAGGTCACGCTCGGTGTGTCAAGGTCGAGCTCTCCTCCACATAATGGGACTCTATTCGGCTCTACTCTCGTAAGGCAAATCTATGCGACAGAGATTTCTTTTGGCCTCTCCGCATCGTGTCTCTGGGGATGGGTAAGCCGCCTCCGCCGATGCTTCTTCAGTCACTGAAGCAAAGGCACGAACCAGAACCCGTTCCCCTCTCCCACACTCCTGAGTTGGCGGAAAGCCGGGAACACTTCCTCTTTCGCCACAGGGCGATAGGGTTCCCCTTCGAGGCGTCAGTGCTGCCAAGGGGGTGGTTATGGCTGTCGCTCACCCGAGCAGGTAGCAGGGGTCCTTCCACTGATGCCCATCCAACCCCAGAAAGGGCGTGGGGGTTATCGTTGGCCCCTTTTTTGGCTGCGACAGAGAATGGACAAGGTCAGTGCTGTCAAACGCCACGAGCCTCTGAATCCGGATCTCATTGGTGCCGTGCCGCCGCTCCGCGCCCGCCCTCAAGACGCCCTCTCCAAAGCCGCCAGGGCTGCTCTGCCCATGATTTGCCGCCCCTCTCTTGACTGGGTTCAACATATTTGGCAAGCGCTGACAGATTCCTGGTGGTACTGCTAAACGTGAGCGATGTGCATCGCTTCAGCGGATCCTCAATAGCAAAGCCAGGTGTCATCTTAGAGAAATGAAACAACAGTCACGGGAAAGTAATTGTTTCCTCCGGATAGTTTTGGGTAAGTGTTGCATCCGTTTGTTTGCTTACCCCCCAATGGTGGATCAGTTGCAGCAGTTATCAATCCATCGAGCCTATCTCATGTTCAACAGCCCCCGCCAATGGTGCATTTCAAAATGTGCCTGGTGAGTGGCAGACGCAAGTCACCCATGTTTATTGACTTTTTTCTTTAGTTATCGTGCAGTAACAATATGCGATGTTGGCGAGACTGCCGAGAACCTATTATTGACCAAATGGAACCGCTGGGTATCTGCAATGCTGCGCAAAAGTCGAACCACGTAAGCATGACTGTAGAGCAGAACGGAGCAGCGTCGTTCTGTTCAATGTGTGTTCCTGTCGACCGAAAGTAAGACCCGAGGCCAAGTCGCTGGCATTGCTGAGGCTGTGAGTTCTCGGCAACCGGGAACGGCACAAGCGGGTCAACGCGGACAACACAGAGCCCTCACAGCCCCCTCTATATTCATGCATTTTCTATATGCGAAAGTTTCTTCCATCAGACTACCCAAAGAAGTGCAGGCAGTGTCTCCAACAGATTGCTGCTTCGCGCATACGATGAGCAAAATAAATAGCGTTCGTCGTGAAAGGGACGGTCGCTGCCACAGCGCATCGACCGGTTTTACTCTGGAGATTGCGGAGAATCACACCACTCCAGATGCCTGATGGCGGGGTCACCACACACCAGAAGAGAAAAAAAGCTCCGATGGCTGTCGTGGGGTTGCGATCATCTCGCATGAAATGACACGCGGTGTAACGCTGGTCGCCGGCTGAAATCAGCGACTTGCAAAGTCGATTTAGTACCGTTACCTGGGCATGCTTGTTCGGCGTAGCATCGGTCTCGAGTCACGGCCTAGAAGGACTTGACTTCCGAAACAAACATGCAAGGCACTTGAATGCGACAACGAGAACGAGACACGAATGCTTTGGCCGGGTGGGGAGAAAGGCGGGCCCCCTATCGCCTCTGCGCAGAACGATTT